GGGGAAAAAAAGAATCAAAATTTGTAAGGATAAGAAAAGAAAAAATAAATCATCAGTGACAAGTTGTGTAAGCAGAAAATCCAAAAGTTACTACAGATAAACTGTCCAAACTAATAAGTGAATTTTAACAAATCTCTGGACACACAAAATCAAATGCAGCTTTTCATATATCAATTGCAGTTAGTAAATGATATTGGTAAAGCATACTATGTAGTATAGCATCCAAAAAAAACACACAGTTGAATCCTAGGAATAAATCTCACAGCAAGTATCCAAGACCTCTACCCTCAAAACTACACAAGAGTATCCAGAGAAATTAAGACTTATATCATGTTTTTGGTTAAAAGATTTAATATTATAAGGATGTCAGTTCTTCTGAAATTTATCTACAGATTCAGTGAAATCTCAAACAAAGTCCCAGCACTTTTTGAAATGAGGATATTGCCAAGATTTTTTGACCTTTACATAGAAATATAAAGGGCCAATGCAATCTTGAAGAAGAAGGGAGATGGAGAAGCTCACCACCAGATACTAAAATCTATAAAACTAAAGTAATTAAGGCAATGTGGCATTGGCCACCAATCTCCCATCCCGGGTGCCACCCACTCTTCCTGGCACTTGCTGGTGCCACTCTCTCTCTCTCCCTTGTGGATGCTTTCTTCATTCAGAATCCAATACTATGTACTGGATTGCTCTCCTACTTGGAAACACTTCTGAAGTTCCAACACCTCACATCAGACCTCTGTCCTGCTTCCTCCCACAGAGATGTCTTCCTCTCCCTGTTCAGGTTCTGACACCCATGCCAGAATGCCCCATGTGTTATTGCCCTCTTTATCCCTGTGATGGTTAATGTTATATGTCAATGTGGCTAGGCCACAGTATCCACATATTTGGCCAAACATTATTCTAGATGTTTCTGTGAAGGTATTTTTTAGATGAGATTACTATATAAACCAGTAGACTTTGAGTAAAGTAGATTTTCTTCCATAGTGTGGGTGAGCTTCATCCTACCAGTTGAAGGCTTTAATAACAAAAGACTAAACTCTTTTTAGTTTAGACTAAACTCTTAACCAGTTTTTAGAAGAGGAAATTCTGCCAGCAAACTGTCTCTGGACTCAAACTGCAGAATAAATTCTTCTTGGGTCTCAAAATTGCTTGCCTAATATCTATGCATATTCTATTGATTTTGTTCCTCTGGAGAATCCTGACCAATAATCCTTCCTTGGATTCTGGCACCCATGCTGATCTATCCCTTTTACACACATTATCTTAACACTGCTTGTGCTCTTGGGCTTTCACATGCTACTCAGTTCCCTGTATGTAGTTCCCCTCAATAGCTAACCGTTTCCCCCATCTACCTACATATCTACTTGCTTGGCCCCATCTAATGGCTCAGGATTGAATTATTCAGTTAGAAAAAAGACAAGACTAAAGAAAGAAAAGAGAAGGGAAGGGAACGGGTGGGATGGGAAGAGAAAAGGGGAAAAACACAATTGAAAATTTGATAAATTTTGAAAAGTGAATATTATATTGGAATAACATATATTTAGAGAGTAGATGCATATTGCCAATTATATTTTCACACTAAGTTTACATATGTCTAGGGTTATATTAATAAATGCTATTACAGAATATTGTGGCCTTGAAACTTATTTCATATTATCTCCTGCTCTAGATAGACACAAAGAGTTTATTTTATTGACTAAATATTTAAAATGTTTTTCATCTTGTTCAACCGTATAGCAAACACAGGAGATCCTGGAAGTGATTTTAAAATTTATGATTTGTGTATCTAATTTTTAAATTTATTACTCAAGAGATTTGTGGATCCAACAAACAACTGTCTGAATAGATTGTTTTTATGTTTTTAACCAATGCATTTACTTTACTTCTACTTTTTCTCAATGTTACAGCCCGCTAATATATGTATATACACAACGCATATAAGACACAAATTATAGAAATGGCCCAAGTAGTTAGAAAGATCTGTTAGAAACAGTGCTATTGAAGTAAAGCCTGGTGGGTGATAAAGGCTAAGTATAAAATCTTTTTGCAATTGGCCCTAAGAAAAATTTAAACAAATGTTACTTAAAAACAAAATAAAAGAAAATCACAAGACTCTTGTAGCACTGAGATGTGTATAATTCCTGTTGAAGTCAACTTCCAAATAAAATTATAATTTAACTGATCCCAATGACATGTCAAGCTTGGTACATTAAAAATTCTTTCACCAATATCATTTTTGATAAGTAAATGACAGTGACATAATTTACTTGACAGGGAGGAAAGGATGGCAGCGGGCGGGGGGTGGGGAGGAGAGAAAGAGATACATTCTTCCTATCAGTAAAGATATACCTATTGTTCTAAGTTTCTTAGAATAGGCTAATGTGTGGAAAAGATACTTAGGTGGCTTTCACATAAGTGGAAAACCTCATTGTTTTCTTAATTCTGTATGTTTCTTTTAGACATGGAAGAAAAATCACTTGCAGGCTTAGTGTAGTACACACCTAATAACTTCTAACAAGTTGACCACATTGGATATATTTGTGCACTCATTCAAAATATCAGATGTATTTGCAAGATTACACCTTTTCTTCCACCTTCATCCTTAATGGCACTTTTATTTTTCTTATCAATTGTTTAGAGACCTCCTATTAATGAAAAGATCATATTAAGAATATGGGAGATACGGCTAGGACAACATCACTAGAACTCTTTATGCATAGGTGCTAGGGGTAAATATTTGAGTTAATAAAATCAGGCCCTATTTTTTTTTTTTTAATTCCAGTCTTTAAAAGAAAAAAAAATTAACTGAGAAGATAGAAGGAGCTCAACAGAAACAAAATAAATGCCTTATTGCCTGATGACTTGGGCTGGAATGAGTTACTTTAGAAAAGATATATCTCAGGATGGTAGATGTGCTGAGAATTGTTTACCAAGTAGATAAGTTACTAGTTATTGGAGAATCTATTGACTAGAATCACATGAAGAAAAGGAAGAGAAATACTCTCAAATAATCCAAGAGGTCTTGAAAATTCATAGTTAATTGAAACACATTTTCTTTTATGTCAAAGGAATAAAAGTGAGACTTCCAGTTTCATTTCAGGCATGCACAGAGCAGGAAAGGTGTTGTACCCACAACCGTAAAATTAGAAAATGCAAATCATAACTTTTCTCAAACCCATCAATGAACCAATATTATTGGACAAGCAGCTAACTGGAAACCTGGAGGAGAGGCTCCTTCGGGAAGAAACAGAATTTGAATATTTACTCACTTGAGGCAGAAGCCACTCAATGCCATATAAGTTAGTAAAATGATACAGCTAGAAATGTTTAATGAGTAGCTAAAGATCAAGTGTGGGTTGGCATGTGAAGGTGGCTGACAGAAGGGGGTTTACACCTCTTTCAGGTGATTCCTCCACGAGCCCCACCAGGCAGTGTCAGAAAAGATTAGAGAGAATCTTGAAAAAGCACCAATGGTGCTGGCTAGGGGAGAACAGTAGCCACTGTTCAAATTCTACCTGAGTATCCCCTTCTTCCTCTAAGTAACAACAGCCTTTCTCTCCAGTGGGGAAGGGCAACGAAAACTGTAGCTTAGGGGTACTGATGAAAACTCCTGTGTTGGGAAGGGAAGCAAGAAAGACAAGTTTCACTCCTGTGGGAGGGGCAAGTCACCCCCAAGACCCAGGTTCACAGAACCTGCCTCAGTCTCTCTCCTCACCCTCGCCCTGGTAAAAAGCATCTGGTAAAAGTAAGAGTGGAATATAGCTGGGAGACCTGCAAGAGACTGATTGTTTCGGGGTAACAGGGCAAAGGAAGAACTAGATCTATATAGGGAGTAGAACTCTAAACACAAGATTTCCCTAGAGGAATTTGAAGTCCTTTGTACATTGAGGGTAACTATAGCAACAACAAACTTCAAACCCAGCTCCCTTTTTTTTTTTTTTTTTAAGATTTTATTTATTTATTCATGAGAGATAGAGAGAGAGAGGCAGAGGGAGAAGCAGGCTCCCCGCGGAACAAGGAGCCCGATGCGGGACTCGATCCAGGACCCTGGGATCGTGACCTGAGCTGGAGGCAGACGCTTAACCAACTGAGCCACCCAGGCGTCCCAAACCCAGCTCCCTTTATACAAACCCCACCCTACAGTCCTACCAGAAGGAAAGATGCACTCATTTACAGATGTAGAAAATATTTACCTCAGTATTGACTGTCCTATATTACATTTATGGTCTTCAACAAAAAATTATGAGACACAACAAAACCAAACAAAACATAGTCTGAATAGACAAATCAATCTCAGAATCAAGCTCAGATATTGAACAGATTAATTAGACAAATGATTAGACAGGATTATTAAACAAATGAAGACAATTTTTAGGGGCATGTGGGTGGCTCAGTCAGTTAAGCATCCTACTCTTTATTTTGGCTCAGGTCATGATCTCAGAGTCATGAGATCAAGCCCCGCTTCTGGCTCCGTACTCAGTGTGGAGTCTGGTTGGAATTCTCTTTCCCCTTTCCCTCTGCTCCTCCCCCTGCTCACTCCCTCTCTCTTTAAAAAAAAAAAAAAAAAAGATATTTTTAAATGAATGTGACTAAAAGTAAAATTTTTGCATAAAGTTTAAATGTATAGAACCATTATTAATATCAATCCTACACAGAGACAAAAGATATTTTGGTGTTTATAATCTTGCTTTCCTGTGACCTTTTCTCTTATTCTCTGAATATTCATGTTCTTCATTTCCACTATCAAAAACCTGATTCTTAAAAAAGATTGGAATTTCACTCACACTGTAAAATGACTGATAATATGTAATCTCTTCCAATTCAAAGGAGACAAAGTTTTAATTCAAAAGAATAGACTTCTAATGACAGAATTTGGGGCAACCTCGAGTTTAACATTGGAGATTGGTTTAAAGTAAAAGATCTATCTATGGGTTAGTGGTCAGGAATGCTCCACAGTGTTGCTAAAAGTACACCGCTTGCATAATGATCTTCAAATTGGATTTCTTTTATAATTAATTCTCATTAATTTTGTTTTGGTAAAATCTCCAGAAATACAGATGTTGAGATTGAAACAAGGAAATGGGGATGGTCCCTGTGGAGAGACATGGACATTTTTATTCTATAATAGTATTTATTATAGTGTATATGTTTAAATGCCTATTTTTCCACCACTTTTGTGAGATCCCAAAGAACAAAGACTCTGTTTCATAAATGCTTTTATTTCCTGTGCTTAGCACATAGATGGCAGTCAAAAGACACTTTTTAACATTTTAAAATGTGTTTTTTCATTTTAAAATAGTGAAGACAATCTTCAAAACATCTGAAGCCCTCACTGTCTATCCAATTACCTTAACGCAGCCTTAAAATGTTTGCATGCATGTTGTTTTCAGTTCTTATTTATAACATTCATAATTTTATGACTGGAATTTTTGGAGTTCACTTATTCATTCTTTCATTCATTCATTCAAAATAATTGATAAAGCATCTGCTCTGTGTCAGCCACCAAGCTGAATTCAGGGAATAAAATAGGTAAAATGTGTTGTTTCTACCTTCCTAGAGCTTATGACTGGTGGGCAAGACCAATAGTTAACAAATAATCACAAATAAATATAGAATTACTATTTTGCTAAGTGCTATGTTGCTTCAAATATAACTGGAGGATTTTTAAGCAGTGAAGAAGTCAGAGACATTGAAGGAATGGTGATTGAGCCTATATCTGAATGCTGAGAAGCAGTTAATTCAGTGGAAAAAAGAGCATTTCAGGAGGAAGAAACATCATAGTCAAAGGCCCACTGCATGAAAATGGATGGGAATATGAAGACATGGTGCAAATAGTCTTCAGGCTGTATACTCAAGTCTTTCTTCATAGCAGGAAGGCATTCTGCAACTAAATCTTTACTGCTTCTTTTCTAAATCTGATTTCCTCTTCAAAAATATCAGATTTCCTAGTTTGGTGCTTGAGCTTGTCCTCTAAATTGTCTACCTTTTTCATAATTTGTTTCTTTATCTTCTTCCTCCACATTTTCAGATTTCCAAATGTAACTTCTTTATCATTGATTTGTTTTTTTGGCCATTGTCTTCTTTTAACCTTACCCAATGTGTGTTTTAATTACACTCTTGTATTGTTTTGCATCCTTGAAAACTTTCTTTATCTTACTCATATGTCTGTTGAATCCCCACCCCCCTTTTGTTTCCCCCTAGGATTTGTATACCTGTTTAATAAATGCCATTGAATTAAGGATTAATATTTGTTCTGGATTCTTGGATTCTGAAGTAGATCAAATAATCTGAGGCATATGTTTTAATGTTCTTTTCCTTCACCATACATATCACATTTAAAAATATAAATTTATTCTTTTAATTTGTATCATTTTATAACATTTAATTATTTAATTTAATGTTCTTTCCTTTAAAGTGTAAGCTCCATGAGATAACATCCTTTGTTTTCTTTACTATATTTCATTTTGCCTGAAAGATATTTGATACTCAATAATTGTTGAATAGATAAATATTCAAGATGTTGCCTTTTTTTTTTGCAATGTTTTAAAAAACAGCTTCAAATTTTTCTCTATTTTCTGAGATAAGAGCTCATCAGACTTGTAACATAGTAACCTAGCATGTTGGTGGTTTTTCCAAATCTCTGCTTGTGGAGTAATGAATCCTTTCTCAGGGCTACAGCTTGAGAATAGTTTAATATATATAACATCTAAGCTAATTCTCAGATTCTAGCAAGCATTCATATTTTGTGACTTTGCTATACTCAATAATATCTTCTCCTATCTTGTGGCTTTCTTTTCTGTATCTCTTTATCAGGGGCACTATACAGATTTTTTTTTTTTTTAAGGAGATGTCCAGGCTGCATGACAAATGTTTTGAATCAGAATCTCTGGGTTGGGTGCACAACTGGTTTCTTTTAAAACAAAAAGTTTCACAGGTTGTTCTAATGCCAGAAAGTGTCTTTTAACCTAATGAGTATAAAAACTACAAGTTTTAGCATTCAGTATAAAGCTGTTGTTATCTAACAAATACAATATTCAAATATTTGTTCTCATCCACTCTCCTCTTGTCCTATTTGTGGGGATGTGAAAGCTGTCTCTTGGTGCACCAAAAACAACACACACACACACACACACAAATATGCAATTGAGAAACAGCTGGTAAATTATCTCGTACAGACACCATGTCTTCCAGGGAGCAGACAGATGGAATGAAGACACATCTTTCAAATGGGCTTTGCTTTCTCAAGTTAATGTCAGTTTTCTTAATCCACTTCCATGGTCCTGAAAGAAACTTAACACATTCCGTAATATGTTGTTTGACAATCATAGCTTGCAAATTCTGAATTATCTCTATTTCTCCAGCAGTATTTTAACGGAAGGTTGGAAGAAGATGCATCATGGGCCTCTAGTTGAATGCAATTTCAAATTATAAATTAATAAGGTCTGTGAAAGACATGACTTAATACATGAATGACAAATGTCATCATAGTATTAAGGTTCTATCATACTAACTTCATGTTTGAGTAACATGGGCCAAACTGGCTTAAAAAAAGGTATTAGGCTTCTCTCCTTATTTAGTTTATTAATTTCTCTCCTCCCATTCCCCCTCTATTTTCTAGTCAGTGGTTTTATTGAGTTATAATTACTTGAGCAAATATTTTTTCTTTTATTATATACTGACCATAGTTCTCACTTTATTTATTTTTATTTTTTTTATTTTATTTTATTTTTTTTAAATGGCGAATGCCCTCCTATCCTGGCTAACAGGAGGGACTGCGGTCTCTCTTTTATTTTTTTATTTATTTTTTAAAATTTATTTATTTTTTTAAAGATTTTATTTATTTATTTATTTAAGACAGAGAGAATGAGAGAGAGAGAGCACATGAGGGGGGGAGGGTCAGAGGGAGAGGCAGGCTCCCCGCCGAGCAGGGAGCCCGATGCGGGACTCGATCCAGGGACTCCAGGATCATGACCTGAGCCGAAGGCAGTCGCCCAACCAACTGAGCCACCCAGGCGCCCCATAGTTCTCACTTTAAATGTGTATGGATCATGTGTCTTAATCTTTACCTCAAATGCATAGCCATACCCTAAGCAATGTATACTGTCATTTCTTTTCATTTATAGTCTATTTCATTATTATAAATTCATAGGAGATTTACTGTACCATCATAAGTGTGGGAGAACTGTTAGTGAAAGACCAAGAACTGCTCAAAATACCATCTTACTAAATTAATACAATGTTGGTTTACAACACAACAACCTAATTTTTTTTTCTCCCCTTACATATGTGTTTCATTGTCTGTTTTGGCAGAAGGTACAAAATATCCATCATTATTTAGGGATTCTAAGTTTGCTTCATTTGTATCTTTTCTTCCATTTTCTGATGCCTTGGTATCTTTTCCTTGATATATTTTCTTCATAGTGGAAATTAATACAACAAATAAAATAAGTGCTGAAAATCTTAAGCTCTCAGTCAAGCCCGTGAAGGTATTTCTGTGAAAAGAGAAAAAACTCAATTTTCATGTTAAAGTATTTGGAACAATTTATAGTGTTGCTCTCCAGTATGCAGAAAATCTTAAAAAAAATGATGTTTGAAATTATACATAATAATATTAAGGTAGCAATTCTAATAATTTATTTTATTGACACAGAGGGGGATTTTAAATTATTTTAAAAGGAATATTAAGCCACAGAAACTAAGGGTGATTAATGATCTACCCAATGTTTTCCATAAAAGTAAGGTATATTTGGGATGTTTAGCTTTCTCAAAGGCAGATTAGTTCACGTGTAATGGAAACAGATTATAAAGGAAATGAATTGACTGTGAGATCACCAAACTGAATCCATACAGATAGGAGCCAAAGTTTAGTTTACAGGCTAAATACAGTCCACAACTTCTGTCATGTGGCCTACTGGAAGTTTTAATGAAACTATATTAAATTACCTAGCACACATGGTCAATTCTTGTGGTTCTTAGCTTTGGTTGCACATTAAAATCATCCAAGGAGATTTTAAAAATCCCATGCCCAGGCCACACAGCCCCTGAGCAATTAAATAAAAATTTCTGAAGATGGGACACAGAAATTTGTATTTTTTGCTCCTCGGGTGATTATAAAGAGCAAAAAAGATTGATAACCACTGACCCAGTAGCTTAGGAAGCACCCAATGGCCTAATGACATTGTTAACTAAATGTAAAAAAGCTTTATGCAAAACAAAACAAAACAAAACAAAAAACCTTGAACAATTATTAGATTTAATTGAAGGTGAATGGAATTATATAATTTTGAGCTGTTTAGGTTTAATTTATTAAAATTACAACATAAGGTTGTGGTGTACCAAAAATAACAAAAGAAATATTTTAAAACATCAAGTATATTTGTCTCATCCTTGGGTTATGTCAAGTAGTTCTACCCCAATGTTAAACTTTCAGAATTTCCATTGAAAATAGAAAAATTACTATGCACTTCTGGTTATGTGACTGTTGCTGAGAAAACTTGAATAAACTGGGTTTAGATTTAGGATTGATATCATAATGTAGATTTCCACTCCTTGGAGTAGGAATTGATTATATTATTTGTCTTTGTTAGATAAAATTAATGAACAACTATCTGGTTACCACAAAATATTAAATCCAAAAAAATCATAAGATGACTATTTAACTTTTTGCTGTTTCTTCATTGGGGAACACACCGCTCTTTTTAAAAATTCCACTTCAGACAATCTTGAGGCAATTACTTGCAAAGTACTTTAGACGATGAATAGAACTAACCAAAAGGAAAGTGATAAGGGCCATGAGTGAGCTTCAAAGTGTTAAGAGTTCTAAGAATGTTAGTTACTTGTAGCTGGTTGGAATGGTGCAAACTTCATGACAGAAGGTCATCTAGTTGGAATCATACAGTATATAGCTTTTTCAGACTGCTTTCCTTCATGTAGCAATGTGCATTTGAGATTCTGCCTTGTCTTTCTGTAGCTTGATAGCTCATTTCTTTTTATTGTTGAAAAACATTCTGTTGTATGAATGTATCACAGTTTGTTTTTCCATTTACCATGAAAGACCATTTTAGTTGCTTCATTTTTTTTTTGACATTTATAAATAAAGTTGCTATAAACATTCATGTGCAGATTTTTGTGTGGGCATAAGTTTTCAACTTATTTGGGTCAACACCTAGGAGCACAATTACTTGACCATATAGCAAGCCTATGTTTAGTTTTTTCAGAAACTGTCAGACTCTTCCAAAGTGACTGAATCATTTTGCATTCCCACCAGCACTGAAAATGATTTCTTGTTGTTCCACATCCTTGCCAGCATTGGTATTGTTTATTTTTTTAAGAGCTCTTTATATATTCAGGACATTCGCCTTGTGTCTCGTTATAAGTTACAAGTTCTTTTTCCAGTTTATCTTTTGTCTTTGAACTTTGCTTAAGTTTTGTGACACAGAGTTTTAAAAATATTTAATCATTTTTTTTATACCATGGTTTTAGGGGTTTGGGTCATACTGAGAAACACATTCCTACTTCCTAGATAATTAAATGTATTTCTGCCACAATTTTTTCTAATACTTGAAGTTTCATATTGTAAATTTGTGTGTTTGATTAATCTCCAATTAATTTTTTTAACATTAAGGTACCTTTGCAAGTATTTCTTTTCTAGATAACCATCCAGTTATTTCCCTATGAACAGAAAAATATAGAAACTTTTTTTTCTTTTTTTCCCATTGACCTACAACCAAAGCCCCAGCATCATTTTGTGTCTTCTTAGAGAAGCCAGAGGTCATTGAATAGTTTTTTTAGTATTAGGAGAGATTTTAGAAACAACAAAACAAATTTTGGTACAAATCCCAGATCTTTTTGTTATTAGCTATATGATTTTAAACAAGTTACTCATTCTCTTTGAGTCTTTGTTTCTTCATATTTAAGGAAAAAGGAGAAAAATATCCATCTCCTGCAGTTTCTAAGAGTATTAAAATGAGATACCATGTTGCCTGATACAATACTGAATGCAAAATTCATTAAAGGGTGACTATAATTATTATTATACTGAAAACAGCATTTCATCTTTTAAGAATATAGTCAAAGGAAAAATCAATTAATAAAATATATTTATGACAACTTACCCATATAATGGGGAATCATATATCCTGCAAGACCCTTGTTTTCCACAGCTGCTGGTTGACCATTTCATACAAGCTCTATCAATCAGAGCCCCAAAATATATAGGAGCTGGAATTCCTCCTGCAATATGAGATGAGAAAAGGTCAATCCAAGGAGTAGGTTTCAAACATAACTGGATGATATTCCACTTTGATACATTTTAGATTAAGTAAAAGTTGAAATTCCATTGTTTTGACCTAAATTTACTCAAGAATTGAGACTATTAGGAATCTTAAAGGCTCACATCACATGTAGTAGCATAGATATCTGCTATCTCCCTCACCCCGCCAACACACATAGGAAAGAGAAGAGGGGACATTAAATGCCCATATGCTCTGTTCTTCTTATAATTACCAACTTAAGCCTAAGTGGCAAAAAAGAGAACGTTGTCAGTAAAACACAGAAGTCATGTTGGTTCATATATACTTTTCCTAGGCAAGGAGAGCTGGAAGTGTGGGGATAGAATTACAACTTCACAGAGAAAGGAAAAACCTCTCAGCTCAACTAATGCAAAGTCAGGAGAGTTTTCAACCCCATTTTTAAGAAAGCTAGCACTTCCTTCCCCAGAGAAATACAGGCCCAGCTTCACAGAATACTAGGGTCTTGGCAGGTTGTCCTTCTTCCTTCGCTAAGAGCTCCACTTCCACCTTGGTGTCATGAGAGCCCACAATCTTGCATTTTCTTTCCATTGATTGTGTGCATTTTTAATACTTCCTCGAAGCAGCGTGGTTTGTCCAAGCTAGGGCCTGTGGCTGAATTTTGTTTCTGTTAATGTTCTAATCACAATGATACCTGGGCATCTAGTGGTCTGTGCCTAACCAAATTTTTATCTGTAGCATATGATTTTTCAGAATGCAAGTCTTTTTAGAAACACATATGTTGCCTTATAGCGGAAGTACCCATCTGGTTACTGCTATTTTAATAAACTCTGAGATACACTCCTAGTTCTAAGCATTGGTAATTTGACCAAAACTTTAGAGACATGCTGGTAGAGATCTATATTCCATAGGGTAGATCTGAAGTGGTCATGATTTTACTTCGTTCTTTTTGTATTTCAGTGAATGACTTTCAATTTTTATTTTGTTATGTAAAAAATGGTAGTGATTCATATTTCAAAATTGTACTGATTCCATTTATTTCTAAGTCTCAATTTTTCTGAGAGTTAGAAATCTGAGATGACAAAAGACCGGTGTACGGGGCCAAAGATATCTGAGAAAAACTGGTACCAAGAAAATGGGTGAGAGATTTACAGCTTTGCACAAATCACAGTCACCCTTTGAAAAAATGAAAAATACAATACCACTGGTTTGACCAAACTTAATTCATTAAATGTTTTAGGTAGCCAACTTAAGTCATTACTAGAATTTTAAAACTTCAAATAATTTTCCAAATATCCTTTTCAGTTTAATATGCTCTATAGACCTCCCACAACTTATGCATGTGTTGTATTTGAGACAATTTTTTTGGGAATTGAAAGTCTACTAGTCAGTATGTATTATTTCCAAAAAGTAGTTAGGTTTTACTGTGCCATATATTGGACATATCAAAATAGTAAGCTCACATTTAGGATGGCAAAATTCCTTTCTTTCTCTTTTATGTCACTAGAAGAATTTCCTCTAGTCTCAGTCTTATTTCAGCATCTAAGGGGGAGTCCTAGATCCCCACATTCTATTTTCATCTGCTAGCTTCTGTGGCCTAGCTTCTAGGAGAGAGGCATCTCCATTGTATCTGGAGGCAAGGAACTGCCAGACAGACAGAGCTGCAAGATTAGAGAAGGACAGAAGAGAAGGCTGGAATGACAACTAGAGTGGAATCCTGCAGCACCTCCATCTTCTTCTCTCCAAGCCCTTCATATTTCCTCCTTTACCTTTGAGGATCTGTGGCCTTCTCCCCAAATATACTTCTTGGACAACTTCTCCAATGCACTTAGCCAAAGAGTTATGCTTCTTTCTTTTGCTTGCAAGGATCCCAGGGATTGACCCCTCCCACTTCCTTTCCCTTCTGCCATCAGTGGTTGCCTCCAAGCCATTGTCAGTCTTATACCCCAATCCCTAGGTGAGTGATGCTCTTTTCCTACTTCCCAGGAATAAGTATATTATTGTTAATAAGTCTTACAAAGGGGCATGCACAGGAGTTAGGTTAAAAGTTATTGTGCTAACAACAGAAATTTCTGTAGAATAAACAGCAAATGACAAGGGAAAAACGATGATGTCCTAAATCTTGTACTAATCACCTCATTTGAATATTTAGAAATAGAACTCTTACCTCTGAAGTCTACGGCCCTACTGTTTAACAACAAAAAGCACAGTATCCTGAGCTTTCTTTCATTCAGAACACTCCCTTAGTCCAAGATGCTCAGTTCTACAGTTTAGTTCCCATTTCCTCTTGCATTTTTAACTTCTGATAAAGATTAGCTTCCCCAGCCTTAGAGAAGTGGGCAGTGGGAAGTGGGGCAGCAAAAAGTCTGCTTGTTTCACGCAATCTCAACCTGACCGGATTCCCAGGTCTTCCAAGCTGTTTTGGGCATTACACTCTTTACGTAGAAGGCTCTCCACTCTGCCTATGGGAAGTAATATTCCTAAGTCTGAAAGTAGAAAAACTTTGGACATCACCTATCTTTGTGTTAGAAAGAGCATAAAACAAATATTATGACTTCTTGTTCTACTTAAAGATTGACTTTAACTAGAATTAATGATCAAAGTCTCTTTTAAGTTACTTAGTTTTCCTCATTATTTTTTTATTTACCACAAAAAATAGCAATTATTTTTAATTATACATTGAAAAATTTCTTATGACTGGAAATTAATTACACCCAGTCTGTGAGCTTTGGTATGAAAATTCATATCTTAAATTTTTAATCTGTATATTTAGCATACCTAATGCTCGTATAGTTAGTGAATGGAAACCCACCGCAAGGGATTTCAGTTCAGGTTGAACAGTTCTGAAATAAGATAAAGGCAAAGGCACATTAAACATCTCCAAAATACCAAACCACGTTCAATATTAAAACATTTCTCAGTGGTATTGTTCTTCATGATCAGATGAAAACCCTCAAGTGAATGCCTGACATTATTTCAAGCTTTATTTTCAGTTGTTTTAAAAGGTGAACAGCTGAGTGATAATTATTATTCTCTTATTTACTCAACATTTTGAGATTTCAAGATGGTTTAACATTTTCACATTTGATCCTTTGAAATCCTATGAGTGTGTGGTCGGAACAGACTTTATTATGACTACAAAGAAACAGATCCCATGTGACCCATTCAGTTGACACAGGCCATACACTAAGGCAGATACCTTTATTGAGGTCTTGGTATGAGGACTTTTACCATCTCATTTCTGCCATTGCTACTAACAACAAAGTTCACTAATATGATCCATGAACTATGTAATATAACCCGGAGTGTCAAAAAAGATACTTGTATTCTAGTGTCTAGTGTATTTAAATGTCATTTTAAAGGGAGCAAGCATATTTGTATCCTCTCTTAGAAATTAACTCACTCTTGCACTTAGAAATTGTTTCCATAATTCCATTTTTCTGTGTTCAATAAGATGATGACATGACCATGTCATTCTGTGATATCCCTGGGATAGCCTAATACGTATCACATGAAATAAATTATTCAGCAGTGGTGGCAGGATGGGGAGGAGGTGACTGAGTCTCAAAACCCCTGTTTTTTTGGAAATATTTGATTAAGTGATACAAAAGTGGTGGTGGTGGTTGTTTTTTCTTGAGCTGTTTGGATGACTGTATTTGTTCATAGAAATAAGTAGATTTAGTCATTCAACAAACATTTGCTAAGTGACCCCTGGGATATTCCATGCTAGTTCTTCTTCTTGAATAAAGAGATAAATGGTGTTTCATATTGACTGCATGACTTGGAGAAGTCATACAACCTCTCAGCACCGTTTTCATATTCCTGGGTCCCTGAGCTCTCACCCCCACATGATTTAGATAATTCTTTAATCACACCCAGTCTCCTGCTCCTTTTATATCCACTCAAACTCTTCCATTTTGTCCCATTACCAAAAATCCTTAGATCTTATGTTCTTAGGAACCCCTTCACTTTCTTGTTCTAACAAAGCCTGGCTGCCCCCTGATGGTTCTCTTCCCATGCAACTCTTTCAAATAAGGGCTGTTTTTCTCTGTAGTCTTACTGGGTCTCAGTGTAGATGTCCTTCTTGCTCTTTTTTTTTTTTTTTTAAAACACCTCCAGACCCTAGTGCCTCCTCTGAAAGATTTCTAACTCCCCTCAAGTGGTGTGTCATTGTGATATACCATTCCCTAACCTCCTGGCTATAGTATCTGTAGATACTATAACTACAGATACTGGTATCTTGATCACCACTCCCATCATTCCTTGGGGATTTTAGTACTAGGCTGTCTGTCATTTTTTTCCAAAACTATATCTGCCACTTTTCCTAGTTATTATAATAATCCATGTAGACCATCCTCCAATGCTCTGGCCTCCAGGTTTCCTGACCTCTTCCCTCCTTTGGTCCTACCTCACCTACCCTTGGTCATGCTACAAAGTACACACTTCCCTAATTCTCAGTTTTGAGCACTCCCTCACCAGAAGCACCTCTCAACTTTTAAATTCACTCTCTCCAATAAACCAACTCCAACAAGCCTCAGCCGCACAGGGCTCTTCAGGCCCTTGACACTCCCCACTTTGTCCGAGGTAATCTCCATTTTCATGTCCTCACTTTTCTCACCATGTTCTCTCCTTATAATCATTCCTTTCATATTCCCTGGACTTTTCTGTTCTTCCCATCCTTTACTGTCCCAGGCAAGCAAAAATGCTTTCATCCAACCCCTGCCTTTTCTGCACCTATACCTAAAGAACTGCTGGCTGGAGGAAACCATTCAAATATTCTGACTAAGCTCATTTTAAGCACAAACCCTCAGAGCCTCCAGTACAATCCGACTGTATTTTACTAGTCTGTTTTCACAGTTTATTCTCCCAGCCTTTAAGAGGACTAGTTTCCATTTCCTGATCTCATCTCAAACCTTTTCTTTTTTTCCTCCTCCCTCTTAGCTGATTACCTTGCTTTTTATCTAACAGAAAAAGTAGAAGCAATCAGAACAGAATTTCAATACCCTTGCATGACTAAGGCTACATGTGTATCATTTTATTTTTACCCACATAGATGACATTCCCTTCCATTACAGAGTAAACTCTGTGTACTTGTTCATATCCCTTTTAATCTTCCCCTTTAATTGTTCCCCCCTCTTAACTTCACTATCAGTTTCCTTCATTGCTACTGGATAATTCTCATCAGCCCACAAGCATGCTACAATATCTAGTATAAACAGAAATCTTAAGGCCACACCCCTACTAACTTACCATACCTTTTCTCTGCTTCTTTTTATAACACTACTAATATAAAGAATTTTTCCTACTGGGTATCTGCACTTCCCTTTCTTGCATTTTCTCTTGCATCCTTTGCAAAATAGCCTTTCTTTCCCCCCATCTTTACACATTATTTTTGTTAAGGCTAGCGGTGACCAGCACATAATGAAATCCGGTGATGTCTTCCTAACTCTTAACTTCTATGACCTACCCTCTTGGTTTTTCTCCAACCTCATGGGACCTCCTTCTCAGTTTTCTTCAACGGATTCTCATCCTCCTCTTGATTTCTGGAGTTGGAATGCCTGGATCTTGGTTCTAGAATCTTGTTTCTATCTGTACTCAGTCCTTAGAAGATCTCAAAAGTGCCATGGATCCAAAATTTATGTCTCCAGCTCTAATATTTCTCCAATAGGCATCTCAGATTTACAGGGATAGAACAAAGTCTTCTCCACTTTCTCCAAACTACCCTTCCTTAGTCTTCACTAATTTGTTCAGCAGTACCACCATCTTCTCAAAGCTGGGCTAGAACCTTGGGATCATCCTTAAACTTTTTTTCTTACATGCCACATTCAATCTATCAGCAAATCCTATTGACGTTGCCTTAAAAAGAGAACAAAGACTGAGACTCATAACACTTTCTATTTCCTTTACCATCACCATCCTCAAACTCCCATCCTGTGAAGAACTATCATAGCCTTCTGTTCTCCCTGTTTCCATTCTTGCAGCCCAAAAACTTGTTCTCCACCCAAAAGCCAGAGTGATCTTCTAATTGGATAAGTCAGTTGTATAATTCCAATGTTCAAATGTCTCTGCTGGCTTCTCTATACAATTAGAATAAACTCCAAAGTTGTTACCGTGCCCCACAGGGTGTACATTTTCTGGACCATGCTCTTCACCTGTCCCCATATCAGCGTAGCTTGTACATTCACTTTTTTTCAGGTCTCTGATCAAATGACTTCCAATGCACAACATCTGAATTAGTACCATTTGCTTGCCCCCCTCTTATATTCTTAAGCTGATTTATTTTTCTTCCTAATGCTTAACACTTCTACTTTATACATTTACTTGCTTATTTATTTATTGTTCCTGCTCTTATGCCCACCCAGTCCCCCATCCCTCACTGCCCCGGTAGCTAGTGGAAGCAGGACCTTTATCACTTTGTTCACAGTTCTGTCCTTAGCACCTATAATTGTGCCTGACACACAAAATGAATAGACTGAATGAGTGAATATCATCACTCCTGCTTAGTCTAATTTTAATAACAGCCTTATGATATAAGCATTGGAAAATCACTAATAGACTGAGGTTTATATTTTTATTCTACAGTCCGTTTCACGAAAGTTTTCTTTCAATAAAATCAAAGGCTGGTGAGAGATCAGTAAATGTTTTTGCCAAATGGTAATGTTTACCTTAACCATATAAATGACATTAACGATGAAACAATGATCTCTAAAACCCTCTTTCACCCTGCAAAAGATTTTAAATTAAAAAGTTAAGACTTTTTGAGATAAAGCTAATACTTTTTTGAGGGAGGATTTTTCTGATAGTTAATGAAGCTGTACTTTGGCAATTATGTAAGACCTCTTTTTGAGTAGACAACATTTTATATTAAGGTGGAAATATAGCCGTAGAATAAATTAGGAAAAATAATTTAACAAGATTTTGGGTCAGAGTAGAATTAAACAACTGTAGACTCAGTTTACTCATGTATACTCATTTTAACAGGGCTTAACCCATTTGTTTTCTTTCCCATCCATGTCATGCTGTTGGCTGACGGTGAACTTATAGTCAACAACCTAGGTCTTAAAAATATAATTTAGATGTTAACCTAGGCCAGCATATTTACACATGCATGTCTTTAAGACCTGCCTGCAAATTTTTGTATGTTTTCGGTTTTAGGTAACTGAATAATTAACTTCACCAACAAGGCTTGTGTTATCTGCTCCCTTCCTAACTCTCCAGTCTTATCTTATGTCATAGCCCTCTCAACTCAGTATGTTCCAACCAGCCAGTTTCTTTTCACTTCTCAAACACTCCAGCTCTTTCTGGCCTTGATGCATCAGTACCTAGACCCTTTTTCTGTACAGTTCTTCATTTTGCTAATGGTAACTTCTTCTCTAGACTTTTAGATTAAATGTGGATTTTTTTTTTTGAGAAGTCTCTGAGTCCTCTTCCTCACAGCTCCTCACCTCAATCCTAAATTAGGTTTTCCTCTTTATTCTCTTTAATATCACTCTTTTTCCTTTCTAGTACTAATGACAATTTGTAATTATGTGTTTATTTTAGTTCTGTTTTTCTTACATCAGTCTTTCCTGTCATACTCTAAGCTGTATGAGAACAGGTACTGTATCTGTTTTATTCACCAGAGTATTCTTCAAGCATGGTTTAAGTATTTGTCTAATCAGTGAAGAAAGGAATAAATTCTGCTCATGTTATTTTTTTCTTGTCTATGAGGATATTTGAGAGACCAGGTCAAAGCTATTTTGAGGGTATATTAAAAGCTTTAGAATTTTATAGACTGGTTATATTATACAGTCTGGTTCCTAAATGTTTTCTTTCAATGAAATCAATAGTTGATTCACTCTGACAGGCCCATCCTCGTATAAGGCATCTCAAAATTAGAAGTTCTTATAGAATCACAACAGAGATTTTTTTTTTCACAATTGAAGCAATTATCAATCAGTCTACGTCACAAAATTCTTAGTAAGAGGAGAAAGTATGAAATTTTATCATTAATTATGACATTGTGGTATCACAATAATCCTAAGTAAATGCATTCCTAGAAAATTAAAATGTAACAAAATACAAATTTGTGTTCCAAATATGTTATGGAAAATATGTACATTATTAGGTGTGTTTATAGTCTAATATACATAAAAACGCTTTTTAAAAAGTCATACTTACTTAAAAACCAGCAAGACAGTTGGGGTGCTTCCCAATGAAGAGAAAAAATAATTCAAGACTTGCACCACTGAATAAATATAAAATTTTTTTGTACATTGACTATCTCTTGGGCATTCACCCAAAGTCACCGAATTATTTTTGTTCTGGACACCAGTTACTTCCACACAACTACAGTTATAAAACACCTAAAAAATAGTTTTTGAAATATTGCAGAATATATTTAGAAGATATGACTGGACTATGAATACATTACATTTCATTATATTTAAAGAAGTCTCATCCATTCAAGCTAAAATATTTACAATGTTTGAAGAAAGCATTCTGAAAATACAGTTGTTTAATAGTTGAAAGGCAAAATAGTTTCCTGGATTCCTCTCTAGACAAAAAAATGCAATTCACTATTAACATTTAACTTATTCCTAAATTAAAAATTAGGAAAGGATAGAAAAAATTAATGTTTGAAACTCTGTATATAATTTCTCATTAATATAAATTCTTTTTAATAATTTTCTCCCACTCATTTTTACTTTCTATAAAAAAATCTAGTTACTCTTTTTAAGAGTCTTACCAAGTGTCAGGAACAGGAAGGGAAGGGAAGGATTACTCAGAGAATCCAGAAAATATAGTTTTGTGGGGGGCAAAACTGGCACTAGAGCTACTCATTAGAATGGGGCAGAGTCTAGGGGAATAGGACCTAGGCAGGGGTACTAGAATCCTACTTTGACCCACAAACACAACATCCAAGAGCATAATGACAGATAATAAGATATATGATGTTATTACCAGAGAGGTTCAACACAACAGAATACCCTAATGGGTAGACCACAGAAGGGGAAAACTTAGGAACAAATGATTTTAGAGATTTAATTTGGCAAGCAGTTTACTTAGATAGGTGGTTTTAATAAAATCTGTTTTAAGTCTAGGCTAAACTAAGGTTTAAGGGAAGCTTAAACCTGTTAGTACTTTATTTACCGAAGGAAGTAATTTGAATCCATACTTATCTGATAATCAAACTTTACTTTTTAACTAGGAACAATATGGATGAATCCTTTATATATCAAGCCTATTGACCAATAAACCCAAGAACATTATTTTGAGCAATTAAGAAGGGATGATTTATTGCTAAGGATTTGGTAAAAGAACTCCATAGTGGTCCTCAAATGGTATAGTCATTTCCAGTATTCAGAAAAATGTACACAGAGCTCTCTTAGGATTCTAATATCATGTCTCCTCCAGGCCTTCACTAATGGGCCAAGTGGGACCATGGATTAAATGGGGCACTATCAGTGAAAGGCACTAGACCCATGAATATGAGATATGGGTTTTTAAGTACGGTCCTTGGGTCACATTTCTGCAAATTTATGGCCTGGCTTCAAAGAATCCAGGTGCTTTATTCTTCAAAGTTCTCAGTGCCCTTCAACAATACAATTAGTAGGATTATGGACCAGAAAAAGATGTTAAAGTTTGAAAATCAAAGACAGAACTGTGTGGTAGAGAGCAATGATCATAGCTGATTATACTGCTAATGTTGGTGATAGGGAAATGGCCCAGGATATGGCTCCCCAACTTTGTGAGATATTCAGTAGATTGGAAGTGAAATAGGGAACATGATACCTGATCCCCAGTTCATGATACCTGAAATAAACTCAGGGAATTAGGAAGAACCCATAGTTTGCATGGAAGGGAATATTTTGAGTGAAGAAAGAAATGGCATTTCTATGGAAAATGTTAGGAACAGATAGGCAAAAGATGAAGTTATCCTGGATAGAAGTTCTATCCTTGGGGAAATCAAAGTTGGAAGCCAAGAACTGGGACAGTCAAGTGAGCATGAAGCCTTGATTAATTTTCTGGAAAGTTAAAAATGTAGTGAGCCTAAAGATAAACTTGTCAGAATCTATATGCAAAATTGCATATAGATTATTGTCCTGGAAATGAAGGGAGTGCTGACAAGTGGTTGGATCAGGACTTTCCCCTAATTTCTAAAGGAGTAAGTTATCTCTTACTTATTTATTATTTATTTATTTATTTATTTATTTATTTATTTATTTATTTATTTAAGATTTTATTTATTTATCTGAGACAGAGAGAATGAGAGACAGAGAGCATGAGAGGGAGGAGGGTCAGAGGGAGAAGCAGACTCCCTGCCGAGCAGGGAGCCCGATGCGGGACTCGATCCCGGGACTCCAGGATCATGACCTGAGCCGAAGGCAGTCGCTTAACCAACTGAGCCACCCAGGTGCCCCAAGTTATCTCTAATTTAACCTAATTAGTAAAATGCAGCGCTTCCTAAGGATTCTAAATGCATTTAAATTCCAGAAGGTCATGTTCTCATAAACTCAAGGAGGAAAAGTGGGAGTAATCTCAAATGAGATTTAAGCAACAGAAAAACCTATTTGTGTTTCAAGCAGGATTTTATGTGAGGCTTTCATTTACACAACTTCACAGCCATCACAATGACAGAGAATATTAGGAGTCTTTTTCTATTCTCTTTTTACTAGAGACCTTACTTATAGAAAGATTTGATAAGTAATTGTTAAATCAAATCTGCAATGTTGATCAAGGAGAGAAGAGAAAGTAAAAACGAATACTCACCATAGACTTTTTATTGCCATTTGAAGATTTGCATCCTGCTAGACAAGGTGACATGTAAGTTATTCCATTGTCTCCACAGACTGGTTCCCAGTGATTCTGATCACAATTGCAGTCTGAGTTGCAATAAGAAAGTGGTACATTTATATGAGATGCCACTGGATTATTTCTGGAAATATAAGGTAGACACATATCAAAAAGAGAGAGAGAGAGAAGGAGGGAAGAGAGGAGAAAAGAAAAAGAGAGGGAGGATAGGAAAGGGAAGCCAAGAGAAAGGAGGAAAAGTGGGAGGGCATTAGGAAAGGGGAGAGAAGAAGAAAGAGGGATGAGGGGAGGAGAGAAATAAGGAAAACAGTTGGGCTTTAATAAGACAGCAAAATTTGATGAGTGATGTTGTCAAAATGGCATTTTTTAATATAGTGTTTATTAACTTAACACCTCCCATCTTTACCCAAACATAAAGAAAGAGGATCCATAAGACTTATATAAGAGGTCCTTGTGATCTACCAAGAAATTACTCATTAAACAAGTCACTTCATTTTTCTGAGACTCAGTTTCTCTTCAATAAGGTGATAGACTAAAGTTCTTTCCAGCTTACTGTAAAGTCCCATGAATCTGTGTTATTTAGTTTGACTCTTTAAATCTATATTTCAACTACATAAGAATTTCAGAACTCCTAAGGATCAATTTTTTTAAAAATCAAGAATAATAAAATCAGTTGAGAAAGATTAGAAAAACTCCATACACTTTTTAAATGAAATGACAACATACTTTATAATGATTGACTGCAAAACATGGATATATTTGTAAAATATAACCTTATAATATGGTTAAAATTAAAAAATGGATTATTTGTATAATTTTCTGCTTATAGATTATTAAAATTATTCTTTTGTTTTTTGTAAAAATCTTGATAATAATTGAGAATTGATAAATTATATTTGAATAAGGAAGTAATTTACATGAAGAAGTAGATTCAGAAATTCAGAAATTCTATTACCAATAATTTTACTAAAATGCATCTAATACCTAATTCTGCTTGGGAACATACAACTGGGAGAGGTTAAACATAATGATTAATGACCAAGTCCAGACATTGCCATCAGAAACTCCTGTGCTCACATTAGTTCTGCCACTTCAGAGTGTTGTGACTACTCTTCCTAAAATCAGCTCTGCCATTTGTAAGTCATAGATAATAACATCAACCGCATAGAGCTATTGGGGGAAAAAATTCATATGGCAGTTCTCAAAATTTTGTTCTCAGTAGCCCTTCATACTCTTAAAAGTATTGGGGATCTCAAACATTTTTTGTCCAAGTGGGTTATATATATTGACATTGATAGCTATATAATCAGAAATTAATACTAAGAAATTTTAATACATGGGGTGCCTGGGTGGTGCAATCATTTAAGTGTCCGACTCTTGATTTCAGTTCAGGTCATGATCTCAGGGTTGTGAGATTGAGCCCCATGTCGGGCTCCGAGCTCAGGGGGAGTCTGCTTGGGATTATCTCTCTCCCTCTGCTCCCCCCACCTCACTCATGCTGTCTCAAAAAAAATTTTTTTAATACATGAGAAGACACAAACACACATCATTAGCCATCAGACTGATGTTATCATCACATTATTGTAGCCTTAGAAAATATCGCTATACACTCATGAGAAAATAAGAATGAAAAGGCAAATACTATCCTGGTACTATTATAAAAATAGCTTAGAATGTGCTGAGCCTTCAATAAGGTCTCAGGGACCCCTATAGACCCTCAGATCACATTCTGAGAACCTCTGTACTAATTTATACTTTAAAAACTTACTCCTGTTACTAACACTTCATAAATGCTAAATACAACGATTCTGTAATTTGCTATCATTAAACTATGAGTTTCATGAAGGCAGTGATCTATCTCATAAATCTTTTTGACCTTTAAGTAGCACTCAGTAAAATTTTACTGAATGGAGAGAATCCTATACAACTCCAGCTGCTTTCTTTTGAATAGATGGCACAGTTATTATACTTGTTTTATGGAACTGGCTCTAAAGCCACTCTAAAGCATGTCTGACAACTTGGGAGCCCTTGGAACTACTGATGTGATCTTTGGAGTCATTGTGTGACTTCAGATAAGTCACAGTTCCCCTGGTTCTCAACTAATAAATGAAGAGGAAAAAAGGGGTTTGGGCTTCATGATCTTTAAGGTGCTTTTACCCCAAAAGTTCAATGTTCTAAGTATTCTGTATTTACTGGAGTGGATAATGGTGGATAGGAGTAATTACCAACAGTCAGTATTAGGAGAAAGCTGAGAGATAATTCAAGACTAGGTTGACAGGTCTCCAAAATAGGATGGTGTTTAGGTAAAGAAATGTGGGGAAAATTGACGAGTTCAAACTGACATCTCAAAGGATCCAGAGTATAAATGCTCAGAGCCAACAATAAAGAGCACTAGGTATCATAGTTATTCAACTGTAATCCAAGGATCTTTCCTTGTTGTCTGAATGTGAACCTTCCTAAGCTTAAATTATTGGCTATATTCAAGAGATGATAAGAAATCTGTACCAGAATCCTGCCCCTAATTTGGGGTAGAACTACAGTACTAGGAATACTTCACAATACTTGATAATAATACAGAGTAAAGGTTTTCTATGGTCTAACATACAATTATATATAGGATATTTATTAACTCTACTGCTAATAACAATATTAACAGAATAAATAGCATTAGCTTGCAGAAAAGGAGAATTCAGTACAATATAAGAAGTGTTTTCTTATAAAGGTACTTGTTAACCATTAAAATTAATGGCAGATAAAAATTGCTCAGTCACTTTTGGGAAATGTTATATTCCTCTTATGAAGCATCCAAAATTGTAGCAATCAAAAAAAAAAAAAAGACTAAAAGTTTTGGAGTCTAAACCCCCCAATTTTTTTTTTTTAAGATTTTATTTAGTTATTTGACAGAGAGAGAGACAGCTAGAGAGGGAACACAAGCAGGGGGAGTGGGAGAGGGAGAAGCAGGCTTCCCGCCGAGCAGGGAGCCCGATGCGGGGCTCGATCCCAGGACCCTTGGATCATGACCTGAGCCGAAGGCAGACGCTTAACGACTGAGCCACCCAGGTGCCCCTAAACCCCCCAATTAAAGTCAGAATCTTAACATTGCTAGTCAGGTAATCTGTGTATCTCTGTAAGCCCTACTTTCCCTATCTATAAAATGGGGGTAAAAGTACCTGTCTGTCATTGTAGGCACCCCATAAAGGATAACTATTATTATTACAACTTATATAGGTTTTCTTTTAGGAATAAAAGGAGAATTTTTTGAGATCTTAGGAAGTAGATGTTTTAAGATTTTGTAAATTGAAATTTCAATTAAAAGAAAGTTTAGCTAAGATTGCTATATGCCCTGTTTTCCTTATATTCTTTTACATTTCATAGTTCATACATTTTGTAACTAATATATTGATATATACAAACCCATCATAGGTCAAAGTTAGGCCAGCAACTGATCTGTTTTCACAAATTAATGCAAAATTTAATAGTTGAAATATGAAGGCCAATACATTGGTATAAAATGATAATTTGGCCATTCCAAGCAAGGTAAGTTTGAATTTTTTAACGATATATCCTCCTATAAATATTCCAGTTGCAACAGTTGGTAAGGTTAAGCTTCCTAGAAATAAGGAAGAGAAAAAAATTGTGATTATACAAATATGGTTATTCTGAAATATCTTTATAAAGGAAACACAGAATGCATCAACTAAATTCATCCCATCTTATTCCTTAAGTAGCAAACTAACAGCTCTGGATGGAGGTAGGAAACCAGTGTACCACATGGGAGAAATGGAAATAATTTCTTGATGCCAGTGCTGAGGATTTGGGTTCCCCAATAGCAGAAGTCAGTGACTGAGGATATTTGAATGTTTTAATTGATGGTTTTTATGAGGGACTTTCTTTTTCTGGAAAACAATAAAATATCATCTTCCTGCCTATAAGGCTTGCATCCTACCATCTAAAATCCTTTACACACTGAACACTACATCAAAAACGAATGATGTACTATATGTTGGCTAACTGAACATAGTAAAAAAAAAAAGAATAAAAAAAATAAAATCCTTTACATTTCCTCAAAATGAAGAGTTCTAATCCTTAAAAACTCATTCCAAATTTGCCCATCACTTTAAAATTAACTACTAGATTTAATATCTCTTCTTTATCCAAACATACCTATGCCCTGTGATGATAAACAGGCTTAAATATGGTATTAAAAATGATTGACCCCTAGTAAAATTTTCACTGTCCTACAAGAGTTATTAAAGGTAAAGATCCCTCTAACAACAACAACAAATTCAGGCTGGGAACCTGATTGGAAGTCAAACTTGACTCTCATAGTTTAAATTTTTATCTTGAGCTCAATAAAAGTATCTAACAGAATTATTATTTTCTTAACTTATGACCTACTCACATACCACTTGATAAATTCAGTTTAATTTATCAAATATTTACTGAGTTTCTACAATGTGTTGAGCACTGTACAGGGTAATGTACTGCCCTTAAGAATCTCATATTATACTGGGGGTGAGAGAAGAATGATATAAGAAAACCATTTCTTCATAAGCAAGATTTAATATGTCATTGGAAATACATAATATAACAAAGTAACTCCTAAAATATGATACTTGTGGGGGACGCCTGGGTGGCTCAGTTGTTAAGTGTCTGCCTTTGGCTCAGGTCACGATCCCAGGGTCCTGTGATCAAACCCCACATCCGGCTCTCTGCTCAGCAGGAAGCCTGCTTCCCCCTCTCCCACGACCCCTGCTTGTGTTCCTGCCCTCGCTATCTCTCTCTGTGTCAAATAAATAAATAAAATCTTTAAAAATAAATAAATAAAATAAAATATGACACTTGTCTGAATTACATAGACATCAATGATGTGTTTAAGTCAATTTTTCTTTTGTCCTATTTTTTTGTAAGTAGCTGAGTCCTGATTCAAAGTGCATGAATTATGAAATCATAATGATTAAATTACAAAAGGATTTGTCTCAGGATCTCAACATTATAAAATCCAGTTATGCAGATACTATATCTAAATGTTCCATTCACACACAACTTTCTTTTAGAAATTCATCTTCTCAAAAATAACATGAGATGCAACCTCAAATGCAGAGCAATGATGATATTATGAGATCAACAAATTTGATAAAACTTGCAAGAGAACAATTGGAAATTATATTTACTAAAATATAAAATTGCCTTCACAACAAAATGTCACTTGAAACTCAATTACTTGGTAGTATATGGCTTATCAAATAAATATAAATAATGTGTCTTACCAAGCAAAATGTTAGCCTCAGATGTTGAGTAACCATACTGTTGCTCTATGTATTTGGAGACATAAGTAATAACACCAATATGGCTACTGGCTAGCACTAATGACAAACACTGTAAGATAACATATAGGGGATTGGTAAGGATGCATTTCAAGGACTGGAAAAAACCTATAAAAATATAAAAATAAGATATTATAATACAGCTTAAATATATGTTAATATCTTTATTTTATAAATGTAATAAAAGTTATAGAAGACTGAAAATTACCTAAACATATAACACAGAAAGTCAGAGTACCTACAATCCTACTGTCAACAGTTTTTTATATTTTTTCCTTCATTTTTCCATATGTACATTAGTATCTACTCAGTTTATTTTACTGCAAAATGAAATCATACATACATGCTGTTTTGCAACTTGCTCAGTTCACTTCGTATTTGGTTATTCTTATCACTCTACCATACAACTACATATATCATTAATTCATTCATTCATTCATTCAACAAATATTTGGTTTTCAACTAGGTCCCAGGCAATATGCTAGGTGCTCAAGAAACCAAAGTGAATAGACATGCAATGTCTCTTATTTGTTAGCACTTAATATTGTTATGCTAATAATAAAATTATTAAGTAAAAATTTACCTTGAAGACAGTATAATCCAACACAGAAATGAGAAGACTAAAGTTAAAAAAATTATAAAGTTTAATTTAGTACCAGGACTCAGATCTGTTTCCTGGTAGACTTTCTACTATAAAATACTGTATCAGCAAATCTGGCAGTATTATAAATCACTTTTCTTATGGTGCAAGGAAAGGAGGAGAATAATAATGTGTCTCAGGTGACATTATGACAATAATAGTACAACAACTTGTGCCTACAAACAGGTGTGTAAAAAATTCATAACTTCTGTTTGTGGCAAGAATTTTGTGATCTGGGTCTATAATGAGAAGGTTAACTAACTGTAATGGAAGTTAAAAGTGGAAGGAATTTCTTAGAAAAAATAGGAGTAAGTATCTGAGTCTAGCAAGACGGAACCAGATGTGGTTATTTAGAGAGGGATGACATAGACTTTGAAATATCTCTCTCTATAGATCTCTAAAGGTTTCCATCAGATATGGTCAGAACTAATCTTTCTATCCAATGGCAACTAAGAAAGAGTCTCATCTACTTTCACTGAAATTAATAATTCCAAATTGATATAAATGTGAATACTTACCACTAATATTTTCACTAACATTTTGCCCATGGTTGGTCACGTCAGCCATGTGAGTCCTTTCCTCATTTGTTTTGAGCAAATCCAAAGATGTTTCTTTCTGTGATTTATCCAGATTTTTGGGCAGGAAAAAGAATGGTATGGAAGACATAATAGATAATATTCCAGCCACAAGGAAACCAAGCCACCAAGCACCAACCCAGCGAGAGTCCTTAGGAGTTATTCTGATATTGCCTAGAATGAAGAATTAGAAGCAGTCAAAAAATCATTTTGAAATGCAATAAATTTTGAGCAATAATAATAATGATTGCTATCCTTCATAGATGAAGAAAGTAAACTATATTACATCAATTCTGAGATGCTATTTTTTTATTTTAATCACACTTCATCACACAAATAGCAAAGACTATTGAAAAAGTGAATTCTTTTTTTAATTAATTAATTTTTATTATGTTATGTTAATCACCATACATTACATCATTAGTTTTTGATGTGGTGTTCCATGATTCAGTATTTGCATATAACACCCAGTGCTCCATGCAGAATGTGCCCTCTTTAATACCCATCACCAGGCTAACCCACCCTCCCACCTCCCTCCCCTCTAGAACCCTCAGTTTGTTTTTCAGAGTCCATCGTCTATCATGGTTCATCTCCCCCTCCGGTTTCCCCCTCTTCATTCTTCCCCTCCTGCTATCTTCTTCTTCCTTTTTTTTTTTTTTACATATAATGTATTATTTGTTTCAGAGGTACAGATCTGTGATTCAACAGTCCTGCACAATTCACAGTGCTCACCATAGCACATACCCTCCCCAGTTCTATCACCCAGCCACCCCATCCCTCCCACCCCCCACCACTCCAGCAACCCTCAGTTTGCTTCCTGAGATTAAGAATGCCTCATATCAGTGAGGTCATATGATACATGTCTTTCTTTGATTGACTTATTTCGCTCAACATAACACTCTCCAGTTCTATCCACGTCATTGGAAATGGTAAGATTTCATTCCTTTTGATGGCTGCATACTATTCCATTGTGTGTGTGTGTGTGTGTGTGTGTATGTGTATATATATATATATATATATATATATATATATATATATATACCACTTCTTCTTTATCCATTCATCTGTCAATGGACATCTTGGCTCTTTCCACAGTTTGGCTATTGTGGACATTGCTGCTATAAACATCGGGGTGCACGTACCCCTTCGGATCCCTATATTTGTATCTTTGGGGTAAATACCAAGTAGTGCAATTGCTGTATCATATGGTAGCTCTATTTTCAACTTTTTGAGGAACCTCCATACAGTTTTCCAGAGTGGCTGCACCAGCTTGCATTCCCACCAACAGTGTAGGAGGGTTCCCCCTTCTCTGCATCCCCGCCAACATCTGTCATTTCCTGACTTGTTAATTTTAGCCATTCTGACTGGTATGAGGTGATATCTCATTGAGGTTTGATTTGGATTTCCCTGATACTGAGTGATGAATTCAATATTTGGAAAAATGGTGTCCTATACTTGAAAAACATTATTATGTTACCTTGTTCTGATTATACTTACTGAGATCTTCATATCCAATATCCACGTATATTTTAGCAAACAGAGATGCCTGTATAAAGCCAATGATTGGACCAACCATTGATAGTGCATGCAAAGTACCTGAAAATATTATAAAACAATTTTATCAAATGCCAAGAATACATGGTTCTTTTGCAATACATTTTTAAAAGTAACATTATACATGTCTAAAAATACTTTTTAATAAATAAAAGAATGAATGTAGGAACACTATTATTTCAAGAGTGGACCCAGGAAAGTAGTCATAAAACTAATTTTCTGTTCATTACCTAAATAAAAAGAAGAATGTCCTTCTTCAGCAAAATCATCAATGTAAGAAATCCCCAAGGGTACTATGGGGGTTTCCCCAATTCCACGGAGCATATTACCCAGGAGTACATATATCCATATATATGACCCAGATTCCTTTTCACAACCTATGTAGACAAGACAGTGTTTTATTTTAAATATTAATTTTAGCATTCCTATTAGAAACTCAACTACTTCAACTCCTTAATTATTTAAGATTTTTTGCTTTTTCCTAATTATAAGAATGATTCATATTCATGTTACAAAATTTGAAAATATACAAAAGCAAAAAGTAAACAAGTAAAAATTAAATTATCTATAATCCCACCAAACACAGAGAGTTGCTCCTTGTGTTTGTTATATCTTCCACATTTTTAGTTCACATAAAAATATGCATATTTATGTACATTATATACTTAAATGTCCAGCTCATATTATAACGTACTTTTACACTTAACACCATATTATGTCAATTTCCCCATGTTTTTAAGATTTTTTTTATACCAGAATTTTAATAGTGGTGTTCTGAATAAAAGTTTTGTACTTTATTTAATCAATCCTTACTTTTTACTCATGAAATATTTTTTTTAAGACCTTATTTATTTGAGAGAAAGAGAGCAAGCATGAGTGGGATGAGAGACAGAGGGAGAAGCAGACTCCCTGCTGAGCAAGAAGCCTGCCACGCTGCTAGATTCTGGGGACTCCAGGATCATGACCTGAGCTGAAGGCAGAAGCTTAACCAAGTGAACCACCCAGGCATCCCTCATGAAATATTTCTAACTTTCCGTTCTATTAAACAGGAATGCCACAGCTATAATTGTAAATAAATCCTTGTGCACATTCCTGATTATTTTCCTAAGTCAGTAAAAGTAGAATCGCTGATTTAAGCATATATGCATATTTTTGTTCTTTACTATATTGAAAATGTACTTTCAAAGAGTTAGAAACTTATATACTCCCAGCAATGCATAAAATGTCTTTCCCTCTACGTCATTTCTTTTTATTTTTGATAAAAATAGGTAGAAAATATGTTTATTTTTAATGTTTTTCTAATAGGTAGAAACATCTAAAGGTAAAAAATATTATAATCATAATTTGTGTCTCAATAGGTAAAAAATCTTTATTTAGTGTAGTGTTTTTCATAAAATTACATTTTTTACATATTTATACCACTTCCCTAATTTAAATGCATATATTCTTAGCCAATTCCCTACTGAAATATTCTTCTTTTCTTATTGTTCTTTATATATAATATATATTAACATTATTTTTTCTTACGTACATAAGATGCAAATGATTTTCCTGTTTGTTTTTTAGTCACTTTTGCTAATAAATATCATAATCATTTTTACAGATATAATTGAGTTGACCGGTTTTAGAATATTTTTAGTGACACTATCAGTTCTTACCTTTTTCTACTACTTCAGGTGATGTTCTATTGAGTAACAAATTCTGATCAAGTGAACAGGTTGATAAGCTTGATGTTAAATTTTCTGATGGATCAGTAAGAGTTTCTTTAGAGTACCTGTAACTGTAAGAATATCACCAGATTTAAAATTTTGCTTACCTACTGAATAGTTATGCTTTCCCAGAGATACAGAGGAATTTTCCCACTTTAATTGCATGATTTTCTTCTCTAAATGATCAGAATCCTTTTTGTCAATTTCCCAGCCTGAATTTTAGGGGACGTGATGGGTAAAAATGAAATGGGAGTGCCCACTAAGAAATATTATTCAATACTTCCCAGGAAAGGTGGATTATCATTCTAGGAGTGCTTATATTCGTTCAAGATATGAAATACCTTGGTTTCATGTTTTGTTTAAAAAATAAATAAATAAAACAACCCTGCTAACTGTGTCTATCCATCCATTTGAATTATCTTCAAAGGTGGTCACAATCTAAACTTCCTGGTTAACTTTCTGATAATACTTAATGAATTTTAGAACAGCATTTTACAAGTCAATCTACAAAGCATACCAATTCATCTACATTTTTAAAAAGATTTTATTTATTTGATAGAGAGAGCATGCATGCGGGCCCACAAGAGAGCACAAGCCAGGGGAGGGGGTGGCGAGAGGCAGAGGGAGAGGGAGAAGCAGACTCCCCGCTGAGCAAGGAACCTGATGCGGGGCTGATCCCCAAACCCTGGGATCATGACCTGAGCCAAAGGCACACAATTAACCAACTGAGTCACCCAGGTGCCCCTCATCTACATTTTTTATCAATAACCTGTCTGGTTTTCTTTCTTAGATACTCATACCCTTCTCCCTCCCATATACACTCAAATGTCTGACTCTACAAAACTTAGTTTTAAAAAATTCTAGTCCCCCAGTTCGATGAGGAAGAACTTAATAACAACAGAGATGGAGCTAGAATAGGGACAAATGCTGATCCCAAGATACTGAGGTACCCTGTGAGCTTCAAGGGCAGCCTACTGCAGACCAGGCATTATGTTCAGCTCTAGAGAACTAGAAATAAAACACACAGCTTTTGTACTTAGGGTATTATGTACTCTATAAAATAAACATATATCATAAAACATGTGATAAATTTAATATAACAGGTCCTGAGTTGTCACAAAGGAAAAGGGGATGATTAGCTTTCCTTGGAGGTGGGAAAGGGGGTGGATTACAGAATTCACAATGAGGATGACATGTGAAATAAAAATTAAAAATGGATAGGAGCAAAAACAATGGATAGGAGCTTAACAGGTAGACAAAGAAGGAAAATTATTCAAGGTTGTAGAAACACCATGTGCAAAAATAGAACATATTATGGCACATTTGGAAAACCACAAGCCTAGAATGTGGTTCTCCACCCTGAAGAGCAGTGTTAGATGAAGCTAGAAAGACAGTGAAGATATATGTAAACGAGTTTAGATATTAATCCATAGACAAGAGGCATTCAATATTTTCAACTATGACCAACAGTAAGAAATACATTTTGCATCACACCCACAACATATACATATGCACACACATTCACAAATACATGTACAATCAAAATAAAAGTTTCACAGAACAATATTTGTTCTCACATTGTATATTCTTCTATTTTATTCTATCCTATACTCTAAAAAATTGTTGATTTCAATAATCTGAATTGATTTATTGGTCCACTCATGGTTCAGAATCTGATGCTTGAAAAAACACTATAGAAAATAGGGAGTTTTCAGCAGGAGTAAAATAATTAGATTTGTGTTTTAAAATGAATATTCTAGTATAGAATATGAATTAGAATGGAGTTGAGACTGAAGGCAAAAAGTCCAGGCCAGAGATGTGGGAAGCTTCAATGAGGTTAGGGACAATAGGATGAAAGAAGGAAACAACTTTGACAGATAGGAGGTAGAATAAGCAATATTTGGTGACCATTTGTCATGTGTGTCAAAATAATGAAAGAATCGAGAATGAGCCCCCTTGACTTTGGTTTGAGTTCCTTTGGCTAAATGAATCATTATTGAAAGAGTGAATGTGACAAATCTGAGCTGGTTTTGGCACAGTGATGAATTTAGTTTTGAACATATGGATGGGAAATTCTTATCGGATGTTATGCTGGCGATACCCATGAGGTGATTGATTATATAGATCCCGAGTGTAAGAAAAAGTCAATGTATGTGATTGCTACATTTAATGCACATACTTCATACAAATACTCTAGAATGAAGTGAAGAAGATTGGAGAGAGAGCTTAGGGGATAGTGACATTATGGTGTCAGCAGCAGAATAAAAGGGTGGGCATGACGAAGAAGCCACAAATATAGGAAATAAATCAAGGAACATAATATAATGAAAATAAGAAGCAACAGTACCAGGAAGAAGAAAGTATTTATGAGGGTCAAATAAAGGGGGGATAGGGAATTGCTATGGTAACCAAAAGGCATGACTGTTGGCTTTGGCAATGAATAAGTAATTAATATCTTTAGCAGAAACTGTTCATTGTCTCTCAATATCCATTCTTCTCTCCTTCCAATGTAATAGAAGATGGGATTCTTAGCTAGGAGCATGGCAATCTGGAATAAAGTCTAATTATTCCAATGTCTTTATATCTGAATGTGAGATGTAACAAAGTTCTGGCCAGTGTGAAGTTAGAAGTGTTATACTTCTGAAAATACTTCTTAAGCTCCAGCCAACGTGCACTGTTTCTTCTTGTTCTTCTTCCCTTCTTTTATCTTGTTGCGTGGAACAACATTGCCACAATTTGGAACGTGAGGTTGAGGCCATGCAAGGCAGAACAATACAGTAAAAAGAAGCAAGAACCTATCATGCTTGGTCTGGCTACATTAATTTTTTTATGTGGAAAATAAGCTTCTATCTTATTTAAGCCATCACTATTTCAAGTTTTCTGTCATTAGTATCCTACTCTAATTATATTATACCATGACCTTAAGAAGAATACTCTCAATGGAAATGATAGAGGGTTAGGTGATGAACTTTTATTGAATATAAATAAAATCTTGTAGGCAAAGACATGAAGTAAATGTTATACCAAAAAGTCATAAAAAGTTCATTTATTTCCCATGAAATTGTATACTGTACTTTGTGCTAGTCATATCTCAAAGTCAATGAAAGCCATGGCTGATAAAGCAATAAGTTACTTATAACATAGAAAATATACTTCATTTCTACACATGATTAGTGGGTATTCTTCTCAAAAGATGACTGCTTATTTAAAAGAAAAAAATGAAGTTTTACCATTAATTTACAATTAAATGATAATTAATGACATAGAACTGTTTAACACTTACTATCCCATAAAGAAATGTGGTAAAGCAGTCAAAATACTTCCAGTTCCCATAATGAAGCAACCAATTCCAATTATCTTTGGTCTGTGTAGTTTGGATCCAAAGTAACTCACAAATACAATCACAAACAAATTTCCTAGAAAGAGAATAAAATTATTTTGATATGATTCACTATCAGAAACATTGCCAGTACAATTTTGTGTCCAATAGGATGGAAAGCCCCAGATGAATACAAATAAAGCATAAGATATGGTGCCTTTCCCCAAAGGTCATATAATTTAATTGAGAAGATGAAACCCACTTACATTAAACTACTCACTGTAAAGTTGTATGATGTTAAGAAGAAGAAGAACGAAATTTAGATAGGAAATAAAGCACTTGAATAAGTTGGCAATATTAGTGAAGCAAAATTTTATTGAAGAATTTGGAGTTGACTGAATTTTTATTTTATCTTATTATGTTATATTAACCACCATACATTACATCATTAGTTTTTGATGTAGTGTTCCACGATTCATTGTTTGCATATAACACCCAGTGCTCCATTCAATGCATGCCCTCTTTAGTAGCCATCACCAGCTAACCCATCTCCCTAACCCCTCCCCTCTAGAACCCTCAGTTTGTTTCTCAGAGTCCATAGTCTTTCATGGTTTGTCTCCCCCTCCGATTTCCCCCCCTTCATTTTTCCCTTCCTACTATCTTCTTCTTCTTCTTTTTTTTTTTTTTTTAACATATAATGTATTATTTGTTTCAGAGGTACAGGTCTGTGATTCATCAGTCTTACACAATTCACAGCGCTCACCATAGCACATACCCTCCCCAATGTATATCACCCAGTCACCCCATCCCTCCCACCCCCCACAACTCCAGCGACCCTGTTTCTTTCCTGAGATTAAGAATTCCTCATACCAGTGAGATCATATGATACCTGTCTTTCTCTGATTGACTTATTTTGCTTAGCATAAAACCCTCTAGTTCCATCCATGTCATTGCAAATGGCAAGATTTCAGTTTTGGGGGTTTTTTTGATGGCTGCATAATATTCCATTGTGTGTGTGTGTATATATATATATATATATATATACCGCATCTTCTTTATCCATTCATCTGTCAATGGACATCTAGGCTCTTTCCATAGTTTAGCTATTGTGGATATTGCTGCTATAAACATTGGGGTGCATGTGCCCCTTCAGATCACGACATTTGTATCTTTGGGGTAAATACCCAGTAGTGCAATTGCTGGATCATATAGTAGCTCTATTTTCAACCTTTTGAGGAACCTCCACACTGTTTTCCAGAGTGGCTGCACCAGCTTGCATTCCCACCAACAGTGTAGGAGGGTACCCCTTTCTCCGCACCCTCGCCAACATCTGTCATTTCCTGACTTGTTAATTTTAGCCATTCTGACTGGTGTGAGGTGGTATTTCATTGAACTTTTGATTTGGATTTCCCTGATGCTGAGTGATGTTGAGCACTTTTTCATGTGTCTGTTAGCCATTTGGATGTCTTCTTTGTAAAAATGTCAGTTCATGTCTTCTGCCCATTTCTTGATTGGATTCTTTGCTCTTTGGGTGTTGAGTTTGATAAGTTCTTTATAGATTTTGGATACTAGCCCTTTATCTGATATGTCACTTGCAAATATCTTCTCCCATTCTGTCGGTTGTCTTTTGGTTTTGTTGACTGTTTCTTTTGCTGTGAAAAAGCTTTTTATCTTGATGAAGTCCCAATAGTTCATTTTTGCACTTGCTTCCCTTGTCTTTGGCGATGTTTCTAGGAAGAAGTTGCTGTGGCTGAGGTCGAAGAGGTTGCTGCCTGTGTTCTCCTTTAGGATCTTGATGGACTCCTGTCTCACATTTAGGTCTTTCAACCATTTGGAGTCTATTTCTGTGTGTGGTGTAAGGAAGTGGTCCAGTTTCATTCTTCTGCATGTGGCTGTCCAGTTTTCCCAACACCATTTGTTGAGGAGACTGTCTTTTTTCCATTGGACATTCTTTCCTGCTTTGTTGAAGATTAGTTGACCACAGAGTTGAGGGTCCATTTCTGGGCTCTCTATTCTGTTCCATTGATCTATGTGTCTGTTTTTGTGCCAGTACCATACTGTCTTGATGATGACAGCTTTGTAATAGAGCTTGAAGTCCAGAATTGTGATGCCACCAGCTTTGCTTTGCTTTTCCAACATTCCACTGGCTATTTGGGGTCTTTTCTGGTTCCATACAAATTTTAGGATTATTTGTTCCATTTCTTTGGAAAAATGTTGATGGTATTTTGATAGGGATTGTATTAAATGTGTAGATTGCTCTAGGTAGCATTCACATTTTCACAATATTTGTTCTTCCAATCCATGAGCATGGAACATTTTTCCATTTCTTTGTGTCTTCCTCAATTTCTTTAAGAGTATTTTATAGTTTTCTGAGTACAGATTCTTTGCCTCTTTGTTTAGATTTATTCCTATGTATCTTATGGTTTTGGGTGCAATTGTAAATGGGATCGACTCCTTAATTTCTCTTTCTTCTGTCTTGTTGTTGGTGTATATAAAAGCAACTGATTTCTGTGCATTGATTTTATATCCTGCCACCTGACTGAATTCCTGTATGAGTTCTAGCAGTTTTGGGGTGGAGTCTTTTGGGTTTTCCACATAAAGTATCATATCATCTGCAAAGAGTGAGAGTTTGACTTCTTCTTTGCTGATTCAGATGCCTTTTATTTCTTTTTGTTGTCTGATTGCTGTGGCTAGGACTTCTAGTACTATGTTGAATAGCCATGGTGATAGTGGACATCCCTGCCCTGTTCCTGACCTTAGGGGGAAAGCTCTTGACTGAATTGTTTTTGACTGGGAAAAAATGCAGAAAATCTTCCTGACCTGAGAGAAAGGTGTTCATTCAAGCACTTATTAATTCACTCCTACCATTCTTTAAATTCCTATTAAGTACCTGCCATAGTGCTAGGAGCTAGAAATATAAAAAAGAAAATAAACTAGTATTTGTCCTCCAGAAGTTTATATACCAGTGATAAAAATTAGTAGATGAACAGAGGTGCTACTAAACAACAGAAAGGAAAAGCTTAAATTAAGTAGGGGCTACAGTAAAGTTTCCTGGGGGGAAGGTCACTTGAGATGTAATGTAGAGTATAAGTTATTTAGATTAACAAGGAGCAGAAGAGCATTCCAAGTGGAAGAAGTCATGACCAATCTGACTCATCTGGAGCTACATATTTAATAACAAATAGACAACAACCAAGAATTACTGAACTTTTGATGGGGGGAAAAAAGCATGTAATAAAAGCACCAAAATGAACTGGCAGATAAAGTAACCCATGGAGAAAACATTAAATAAAGAAACTAAAAAGAGGAGAAACAAAAAAAACTAGTTAGTCTCTCTAGAGGTGAAAGGGTAGGTTGCATCCATAACATAAGAACTGGCAGACAAAAAATAATAAGAGAACAATAAAGAATTTTTGTAAATTAAAAATACTATTAAAACATGTACATCCTGAGACCTGATAAGATGGAAGGTGGTATCAGAGAAGACTGATGGAACATAAAGCAAAAAAGTAGAATTTTAGACAGAAAAAGTTAAAGGAACAAAATTGTGAGGAAATTTAATATTCATCTTATATATGTTTCAGAAGAAAACAAATAAGAAAATAGAGGGAAAGAAACAAATTTAATAATAGAAAATAAATTCCCTGAGTTAAAGAAAGACCTAAGCTTTCAGATACAAACTTCTATATTTCTCCAGCATTAAGTAATGTAAAATAAATAGTTCTGATATATGTTGGTAAAATTTCTGAAATTCAGGGATAAAGAGGAGGTGCATGACAATGACATTGACAATGATTTCTTATGTGTAACACTGAATATTGTAAATCAGGTAAATATTTTAAATGTTCTGAGGAAAAATTATTTTGAAAATTTAATTCTATAATCAGACATTATTACTTGAATATAATGATAAAGTAAATACAGTTTCCAACAAGCAAGGGCTTAGAAAATATGTTATTTCAATTATTTCCATGCAAAAAATAACTACTTTGAAGATATACTCCACAAAAACTAAAGATGAGATTTGAAGTCATAAGATTCAATTAACAGTGGTAAGCAAAGAAACTAGTAAAACCTAAAACCATGTCTATGTAATTGCTGTTAAATAGCTACAAAGTTTAACAAAAATATTAAGAATCCATTCCTCAATAAAAAGAGACACATACTGAATTAGAATTTGGACTAATTAATAGTCCAAAACTAAAACTTTAGGTAGTTTCATTAAATCTTGGAGGTGGAAGAGTAAAGGATATGCAGGGCATAATAACCTCTTAATCATAAAAAGACAGAATTCATAATAAAAAAATAAATGGGTCTTCCTTTATGCAATTATTTCTTAAAATATTCAATAGCTAATATATTTTTAAATAAGTTAACAACAAACTTATTTGTAATTAATACAACAGAAATAATTTTGAGTCCCTTCAAATCATTAAAAAGTCTAAAAAGGGCCTAAGATGGCAGGTACCATGAAGAAGGGGGCTGAGAAGATGTCAATGTTATTTTTGAAGATCAACAAAAGAAAAAAAATTTGCACTGAATACAAGTAGAGCTGAAGGAAGAAAGAAGTGAAAAAGAAACAACTCTAAAATTTAGAAGATGCTTGTGAAGACATCATGCTTGCAGATAATGAGTGCTTAATGATACCTGACCAAATTGGTGATGTTTTCATTAGCCATTCTCAAGAAGAAACATAGGAAATGTTAAAAGTAACAAGAAAAATTTGTAAGAAGAAATTGATGCCTGAGAATCCAGAGTGGAATTAATCCAGGGGGTGTTAGCAGATTCAGTTATATGCAAAATTTGGGAGCAACATAAACCTTGAAGCTGATGAAAGTTAAACATTTTATAATACTTTTAAAAATTTGTTTAATAAACTTGAATATTATTTAAAAATTTAAAAAAGTCTATAAGGGGGGAGGGCAAAGGTAATGAGCTACCATTTCATGAAATAAGAGAAAATATTATCTAATAATTACATAAAACCTCACTGTTATTAGAGAAATCCAAATTAAAGACAACAAAGCAATATATTCAATGTTAAAAAAAAAAAAAGTTTCACCCCAAATTTTATACCCAGTTAAACAGTACAAACCTAACAGAGATTGCTTCAAAGCTGTTCCTCCTTCTCAAATCATTAGAATCATAATCTTCTCCCCAACCTTTAATTTTTAATTAATTAATTTATTTTTTGTACTAGGACATCTTGAGAGAGGGAAGGTACAGTCCTGCAAAGCATTAGTTTGCAAGCAGTGAGTTGGTATAGATCAAGGTCTCTCAACCTCTGCATTATTGACATTATGGGCTAGATAATTCTTTGTCGTGGGTGTTATCCTGTGCATTGTAGGATGTTTAGTGGCACCCCTAGCCTCTACTACTAGATGCCTATAACAATCTCCCTCCCCTCAGTTATGACAATCAAAAATAACATCAGATATCATTGAATTGTCCCTGGGGGGCAAATTTACTCCTGACTGAAAATCAGTGGTGTAGAGCTTGTATGAACAGTTTTTACCTCTGCAAATCTTGTTACTAATAATAAAAATAGAAATAAAAATTACCAATTTCAAAGCCTCCATCAATTAAGCCAGAAATCGAAGATGATATGTCAAATCTCCTTTCTATTTGAGTGATGGAACTTTTCATGATGACTCCACCTAGTCCCTTACACATAAAGCTCAATGACAGGGCTACTAAGAACATCTAAGAAAAAGCAGAAAGAAAGGATAAAATAATTAATAAAAAGACTATAATGCTTATATATGCAATGAATTAAAAATAACTTATCTTCTTTACTTAAAAACATTATTTTTATCATTAAAATCATACTCAACTTTCCTCTATACCAACTGGTACTTCCTAGTCCTTTTAACGTTATCATCACTACACTGATAAAGCATCATTTTCTAACTTGTTTACAACATCAGATAATTAGAGTACAACAGTCAAGGCTGTTTTTTTCATTTTATATTTTTAACTGATTTTTAAGAAGCTAGATAATGACCTGAGATGGTGATGATGATAAGCTATTCTTTATTCCCCCCATGAATCATATAGACTAACTGTGAGGGGAGTGGCTAGACATTCTCAAAGATGGCATTTCCAGGAAGTCAGCTGGAAAATGGAACTTTTTTTTAAATTTATAAAACCTCACTATTATTGGAGAAATCCAAATAAAAATGAAAAAAAAAAACCCAGTATATTCAACATTCTAAAAAAATACTTTAGTGGTTATAGATATTTTATTTTCAAATTCATTTTAACAAAATGTGTTGGTTCATCCTTCTTACAGCCCACATTTATACCCATAAGTGAATTCCTTTTACATCTAACATTAAAATATTATTCTGCTATGGACTATATGTTTGTGTCCCCACCAAATTCATATGTTGAAACCCTAATCCCTAATGTGATGATATTTGGAGAGAAGTCCTTTGGGAATTAGGTCATAAAGATAGAGCCCTCATGCTAGGATTAGTGTCCTTAGAAGGGCTTACTTCTCTCTCTCTCTCTCTGCTTTGTGAGGACACAAGAAGATAGCCATCTGAAAATGAGGAAGTGTTCTCACCAGAACCCAACTATGCTGGTACCGAGATCTCAAGACTTCCAGCCCCCAGAACCATGAGAAATAAATTTCTGTTGTTTAAGCCACCTAGTCTGTGCTATTTTCTTATAGCAACCCAAGCTGATTCAGACAGGTCTTTCTCATTACCTCCAATACCACCAGTGGTAGCCACCATCATGCATAGCCTGGAGCATCACATTAGCCTCTTATTAGATCTTTCTGCTTCTGCTCTCATTCCCCTTACAGTCTCTTCTCAACACAGTAACTACAAAAACTCTTTCAAAGTAAAAATTAGATTATGCCACCACTCCCTGTTTTCCCATCTCCCTCTTAGTAATATCTAGTCTTTCCAATAGCCTACAAGGCTCTAAATGATCTGTCCTCCCCTGATTATCCCTTCCCTAAAAATATTCCATTTTACCCTTCTGATCTCATGTTCTGTTACTCTAGTTCTTGCTCATTCCTCTCCATCCACAAGAGCCTTCTTGTTTTACCTTGAGCATTCCAGGTTTATTATTTTGACACAGGTTCTTTGTTCTTGCTTTTCTTCCTTCGGGGAAAGCTCTTCCCCATAGTTATATCCTTATCACTCACTCCCTCACATCCTTGAGGCTTTTGCTCAATGTAACTTTCAGAGTGAGGCTTTCCTTACCCATCCTATTTAAAATTACCACTTTCCCCTCACAATATATTTTATGTCTGTCTGTCTGTCTGTCTGTCTGTCTGTATGTAATATATGTTGCCCTCACTATAACTTTCATTAGGGTAGGATTTTTTTTTCATCTGTTTTGTTCACTGGTATATCTCTGGGGCGTAGAACAGTGCCTGCCACAAAGATGTTTAAAAATGTGTTGAGCTTTTGTCTAACTAGAACTTACTATGTGTCTTACATAAGGTTATGCTTGGAGAAGGAGATAAAAGGCCCAATACAGCCCTTCCATGGCTGGAAAAATGTGTGTACTTTCCTTCCCATATATGGAACTTTTAATGAAGTTGAAAGGGCTTGAGAAAAGTTGTAAATGTTACAACTTATTATAAATAACTAAGAATTCTTATATAAGATATAGGAAGTCATCTAAGAATGAAACACCAAAGGTAGAAGGGTATCAAAGCCAGTTTTGCTAAGTTGGTAAAGGGAACAACAAGACTCATAGGAAAAAGATATTAAATTTGTCCAGAGAGATTAGACAAAAATTATGAAAATTTTCTTCAAGGACAGCCCATTCTGACATATATAGTATCATTACTATCTTTACATTATAGAACAGAAAGGAAAATTTTCCAGTTCTAATCATTTTAAAAAAATCATGTATTGACACCAGAAATTAAGAAATGGAGATGGGATGGGGCACCTGGGTGGCTCAGTCGGTTAAGCATCCGACTCTTGATTTTGGCTCAGGTCATGATCTCAGGATTGTGAGATCGAGCCCCATGTCAGGCTCCATGCTGGGCGTGGAGTCTGCTTAAGATTCTCTCTCTCTCTCTCTCTCTCTCTCCCTCTGCCCCTCCCTGCACTGTCCCTCTCTCAGCAAGATGACAAAATAGGAACCCTCAATCCTCCTTCCCCCATGGATCCATAGACTTAACAACAAACTGAATATCTCTGTGAGAAATCCAGAAACCATTTAAAATATTTGTGCATCCTACACAGTGGGAAGCCAACCTCACAAGTTCAGTAGGAAAATCTGTGACACTCCAATTTTCTTGCCAAAGCCTTCCCCCAACCAAGCATCATTGGTGCAATTGGGACAAAATCCCCAACTCCCATATTCTGTCTGGGGAGAGAAAGGAATAGAACTTATATCCAATGTTCTGACTTGTATGGAGGCAGCATGAGGGACCAGTTTGTATTCAAGTACTGACAAGAGTGGATGGCCACATTTGAGGGTCTCAGAATAAAGACAAACCATGAACCAGAATATGTAGTACCATGGATAGACACTAGGTGGAGCACCAGGATTGTAATTTACTAAACCAGGGAGGGTGCAGTTATTTTAGGCACCAGGCAGAAGTCCTTAGTAGACACCAGCAAACTTCTCCAATTGCGCAAGGAGGACACACATCCAGAAGAAACTTGAGAGATCTAGACAATCTCTAGCTTGGCTACATAGTTAAACTCATCCCTGTACAAAACCACAAAGTCTGAGAGAGTTGGCTGATTTTCAAATGTCAAAGTTCCAACAACAAAAAATAATAAGACATATAAAGAAACAGGAAACCACAACACATTTAAAGGAGGAAATTAAATCTCCAGAAATTGACTCTAAAGAAATGGAGATACATGAACTGCCAGAAAAAGAATTCAAAATTACCATAAGGATATTCAATGAATTAAAACACAAAATAGATATACCTCTAAATGAAATCAGAAAAACAATACATAAACAAAGTGAGATTATTAATGAAGAAACAGAAACTTGGAAGAAGAACCAAACAGAAATTCCAGAACTGAAGAAAACATTACCTGACTTGAAAACTTCACTAGAGGAGCTCAAAATTAAACTTGACCAGACAGAAAAAGAATTAACAAACTCAAAGACTGGGCCAAGAGGGAAAAAAAAAAATGAATGAATAAATATGAAGAATGTAAAGAACCTATGGGACACCACCATCAAGCAGAACAGTATTTGCATTATAAGAATACCAGAAGAAGAAGAGAAAGGGGCAGAAAAATTATTTAAAGACTACAGCTCCAAATTTTCCAAATCTAAGTAAAGAAATGTACATGCAAATTTGATAAATTCAAAGAAGCACATCTAGGGTAAATGTAATGAGACCGACACAAAGATACATCATAATCAAACTGTCAAAAGTCACAGACAAAAAGAAAGTCTTGAAAGCAGTAGGAGAAAAGTGACTCAACACATACAAGGGAATTCCCATTAGATTATCATCAGATTTTTCAGCAAAAAAAACCTTGCAGACTAGAAAGGAATAGAATAAAATATTCAAAGTACTAAAAGAAAAAAGCTGCCAACAAAGAATATTATATCTGTCAAAACTGTCCTTTAAGAATAAGGAGAAATCAAAGACTTTCCCAGATAAGTCAAAGCTGAGGGAATTCATAACCACTAGATCTGTCATACAAGAAACAATGAAGGTTCTACAAGTTGAAGTGAAAGGATGGTGAATAGCAACACAAAACCATACCAAAATATAATATTCCCTAGTAATGGAAATATAAAATACAATACAATAATACATTTGTATTGTCTATAGAGTATACATAAAGGGAAATGAAAAGAGAATCAAAATACATCACTACAAAAAAAATTAAACACAGAGAAACATCAAGAGAGGAAAAGAGAACAAAAAATTTTAAGACAGAAAGAAAACAAATGACAAAATGGCAATAGTTCTTTCCTATCCATAATTACTTTAAATGTAACTTGATTGAGTACATTAATTAAAAGACATAGACTGCCTGAATTGATTAAAAAAACAGGATTCAACTACATCCTGTCTACAAGAGATTCATTTTAGATCTAGGCACCAAAAAGCTAAAAATGAAAGGGTATGTAATAAGCTGAATATTTCTGTCCCTTCAAAATTCATGTTGAAAACCTAATCATCAAAGAGATGGTATTAAGAAGTGGGGCTTTTGGAAGGTTATTTTGGAAGGTCTCTGTCAAGCGGACAGAGACCCCCTGAATAGGATTAGCATCCTTATAAAAGAGACCCCAGAGGGCTCTCCTGCCCTTTTTCCATCATATGAAGACACAATGAGAAAACAGCCATCTATGAATCAGGAAACAAGACATCACCAGGAACCTAATCTGCCAGCACCTTGATCTTGAATTTCCCAACCTCCAAAACTATGAGAGAGAAATATTTGTTATTTAAGCCACCCAGTCTATGGTATTTTTGTTATACCAGCTCAAATAGGTGACAAATATTTTATGCAAACAAGAACCTAAAAAGAACAGGGATGGCCATACTTTCATAGATAAAATAGTCTTTAAGACAAAAACTATCACAAGAGACCAAGAAGGACAGTACATAAAGAAAGAAGGGTCAGTTAATCAGGAAGATATAACAATTATAAACATATATATGTAACTAAAATTAGAAAACTCAAATATTTGAAGCAAACATTGACAGAACTATTAGTAGAAATAGAAACATATTAAAAATAAGA